CGTCCATTTGTGTCCACACACATAACAATTAGATCGTTTTGAACATGCAGAAAAACAAGCAGCGAAAGAAATGAAGGTTTGTGGCTACGAAATTAGCAAGCATTTGCTCAATATCTCTAGAATGTAACAAAGTTTAGCAGTCCTTACTTCCAAACAAATGGTAATTTAAACTACCCTTCTCCATGAATTCATAGACAATAAGCAACTCTCTATTTTCTTCTTCTTGAAAGTATCCCAGCAACTTCACAATGTTGGGATGAGAAAGCTTTTTCAAGAAACCAACCTCTATCTGTACCAGTGACATATAAAGGAAGTACACACTGAAGGATCAAACATAAACATATAAAGAATATCACAGGAAGGTAACAACCATATATCACAAAGATTTTACATGGTTCGTCTTTGCCTATATTCATAATTAAAGAGAAATTTTACTATAATCGGAACGAGTACAAGTTTTTAGTTACCATTCATAAAGGTTTTTAGTTACCGTAGTGAAGAGATGTGAAAATGATAATATCCATTTATCAAGATGTAGAAGGTTCTAAAGTGAAAACTTGTAAAGTGTCGAGGGGAAAAATCGGGTGTTCATGCAAGAATATTTTTATAATTAGAAATATATTAAAATAATATATATTTTTTATTTTTAACATCAACGGATCATATTAATATGATAATATCCATTTACATATTAAATTTAGATTCTCTATATTAAGAAAATTCTTTAAACTAAGTTTTGTCAATCTTTCTACCTTGGTTAATAGGATTGTTCAAGCCATAATATGATAATATTCAATTACATGCTGATTCTCTGTATTGACCAAAATCATTAAATTGAGTTTTTTCACTTTTTCTATCTTTGTTAATGGGTTTTATATTAAGAAAAAAATTTCTCGATCCCTAGAATTACTGAAACCATAGTATACTAGATAATTTTTCATATCTTATATATTTTTGTTATTTTTTTCTCTATCATTTCTTTTTTTGTGGATTAATTTTTAGTTTTGATAACACTAGCTTATAACTTTGTTTTATGTTGAGAATACACACTTGATGTAAGGTTTTTTTTTCCATGCGAATAGTACATGGGTCCGAATAACTTTAAAAGGATGGTGTGAATGTATTTAAAATAATTATTAATTTGTTTCCGTGGATGAATTTTTGACGTAGTCACCTTCAGTGTTGGTGAGAAGAGTCCACGCCTCCAAATTGACTTTTGTGGTGGACGCCCTTGCGACTTTTGAAGCACGCATGAGGACACCTTGTCTGTTCCTTACCATCATGCTTCAGCCAACGAAAAATAACCCTCCAAATTGGCATGTTGCTTAAAGTCAAAAGGCTCGCCGTAATTCTTGTCCAACTTAGGTAGGTAAAGAAAAGGATTATGAAGGGCCTGCTTCCACTCGTGTGTAATGTCATGGTTGTTGAATATTAATTTAAAATAATAATAAAAAATATTTTTTAAAAACAAACTTTTTAACAACAAAAATAAAAAAACTACTAGATTTTAATCCACCACATAGAAGAGCCTAGAGAGGGTGACGAATCAATGAAGATCTTTTTCGCTCCGTACACATTATTAAAGTCAACAAAGAAATCTGATGAAAAATGTTATGTTTGTTTTTTAAAATATTTTTTATTTATAATTATATTAAAATATTTTTTTGTTTTTAAAAAATTATTTTTAATATTCATACCTCAAAAATGATTTAAGAATATTAAAATTTTTAATTTAAAATAAAAAAATTAAATTTTAATTTAAAAAATAGATTAAAAGTCAATGCCAAACTTTAAATCTCCCCCACCTTTCCTTTCATTTTGTCCTTCACCCGGTTCTCTCTCTCTCGAACAACCACTTCCACTCCTACCTTCTCTCTCAAACAACCATAACTTCTAAGAACAGGGGAAGAAGAAGGGAAGATCGGAAAACGGCATGGTTTTGGTAAGTTTATATATATTCCGGGTAAAACCCTGAACAAATGCAACTCTGGTTTTCATCTGTGTAAAACCTGGCCAAGACCCGGGGTCCAGGTTAACCCGCCTGGTTTATCCTAACCATAACTTCTAACCTACCAGTCTTACCTCTATTTTATTTGTTCATCGTCGTTCCCTTATTTATTCGATTCATTATACACAGCACACACGCACAAGAAAAGAAAACGTAAACAATGGAAATTTTTTATCTCAACCTCTTGTTTGCTGTCTTCTTCATAACCTTCTTCATTTCCATTATCGTTCACAAACATAGATCAAAATTCAAGCACCCTAGCCTTCCTCCTGGCAGTTCAGGCCTCCCTTTTCTTGGGGAGACCCTTGAGCTCTTGAGGACAGGATACAAAGGCCATCCTGAAAAGTTTTTCCTTGACCGTATGGATAAATATAAATCAGAAGTATTCAAAACAAATCTTTTCTTTGAGCCTGCAGTAGTCTTATGTGGTGCTGGAGGTAACAAGTTCATGTTTTCCAATGAGAGCAAGGTTCTTAAAGCTTGGTATCCCGACTTTGTATGCAAAATATTTCCCTCTTCAGTTCAGAGGTCACTCATTGAAGAAGTTGATCGACTGCGCACTTTGCTCCCTCAATTTTTGAGACCTGATGCCTTGAAGAGATACGTTGGCATCTTCGATACGGTCGCCGGAAGACACTTTGCATCAGAATGGGAAAATAAAGAAGTAGTGGTTGTGTTCCCTCTGGCAAAGATCTTTACATTTGGGTTAGCTTGTAGCTTGTTTCTTAGCATTGAACACCCCGACCACATTGCAATACTTGCAAACCCATTTAACCTTGTAGTTTCCGGTATTTTTTCTATCCCAATTGATTTACCTGGAACTCCACTCAACCGTGCCATCAAGGCATCAAAATTTATTAGAACAGAACTTTTTGCGATTATTAAGCAAAGGAAAAAAGATCTAGCAGAGGGAAAGGCATCACCCAAGCAAGATATATTGTCACACATGCTGTTGGCATGCGATGAGAAGGGAGCATTTATGAGTGAGCTAAACATTGCTGACACAATTCTTGCACTATTAGCCAGTGCACATGAGAGCACCAGTGCGGCTTGTGCATTCATTGTCAAGTATCTTGCTGAGTTACCTCATATTTATGAGAGAGTTTACAAAGGTACGTGTTGTTCATAACTCCATACTCTACCGTACAAATATCTTTATATAGAAATCTCTAACCAACAATTGAGTTACATATAATTTTGTTTATAATTGTATTAGTAGGTGAAAATAATAATATAAAATCATCCATCAAGTTTCTCTTAATAGCTTAATATTCTATGTTGAGATCTTATTTGATCATCTAACAATTTAATTTTTTAAAATAAGATGATTTCCCCCCTCACAGTAGAGTCTTTTTTATTAAATATTGATGGGCTTTCATTGATTGATGTGTAATGGTGAGCAAAATAGCGTTTGACTGATTTTTCTTTCTCTTGTCAATAGAGCAAATGGAGATATCTGGAACCAAAGCTCGCGACGAGTTGTTAAACTGGAATGACATTCAAAATATGAAATATTCTAGGAAAGTAATTCGTGAAGTGTTGAGACTTTGTCCAACCTTTCCTAATGTTAGAGAAGCCATCCACGACTTCTATTTCAAAGGTTTCTTAATTCCGAAGGGCTGGAAGGTAAGTTTTTTTTCTAAATATTGTTTGTGTGTTCTTCTGCTTATCGTTTTCCAAGTTTATCATCAGCGACGACTACAAAATGAATTTACAGATGATAGATACCTAAATCCCAAAAAGGTATAATAAATAAATAAATGACATATAAAATTAAGAATGAGTCGTTAGTTTTTTAAAAGATAATGTTGTTGGTTGATGATGTAATTGATTGAGACGTTATTGATTGGTCCAAAGATCTAGCCACAACAAAGTTTGACAGTCGGAGTCAGAGGCTCATTATTACGCTGACAATTATGCTGGTGATGCAGACATTCTACAGTCACAATCATTCATCACAATTTTTCTTTGTGGGCATGCATGCAGGTGTATTGGAATGCAAACTCGACGCATAGAAATCCAGAATACTTCCCAGAACTCGAAAGATTTGATCCTTCCAGATTTGAAGGGAACGGACCAGTTCATAAATAATTTTACAATGAAAATCATTCCACAGCAGAGTTTTAAAAGCTTTTATTTCAAGCTGATTTCCTAAAATAATTTCTGAGATGAAAAATAATTCTAGAATCCCACCATACATCTTGGGGGATCTTTATAAAAATTTGGTATTAAAAGATAAAAATAAATAATAAATATTATTAATTATTAATCTCGACTTTATAATAAAAATCATTAGACGATAGAAACAATTATGTAGATAAAAAAATAAAGGATATTTTCCGGGCTCTCACCCATAAATTACAAGTTTTAAATGATATGAAATAGATGAATGCCCATAAATTACAAGTTTTAAATGATATGAAATAGATGAATGCCCATAAATTACAAGTTTTAAATGATATGAAATAGATGAATGCCCATAAATTACAAGTTTTAAATGATATGAAATAGATGAATGCCGGGTAGGTGGAGAAAAGTCAAGGCTATACAGGCATTTTTACAGAAGTAGAAATCCAACTCCTGTATTTGACATGACCGGAGCCGATAAATCTAGATAATTTTGATAATATAAATAAAAAATAAATTAAATAATATATAAATTTGAAGTGTGCGTTTTTATATCAAATTATTAAACCATAAAATAATACACACAAACGTGCTTTATGTTAATATCAACATATGTGTATATATTAAAAAAATATTAATTATAATAAATCTCGTACTCGCCCACCCAGTTGGCAGTCAACTAAAGTGGGCTGTGAGCTCCTTGATGCTTGCTTGCTTCTCTGTCAGTGACGTGGCTCGTTTCTTTCCCTTCATTTTTCTCTTCGCTTTTCTAGGAATAGGAAGCACATGGTCGAAATACAAGGAAAAAAAAACAAAAAAAGGTTGATGGCTGCCGTGTCAAACATGGCTGCTGCATGGTGAAGGAGAAGGGCGGTTGCAATTAAGTAAACTGGATATTAACAATGGTGGCAGAAGGTGCTGATATAATTGAACAAAAAGAGAGAGGATTGCCTCCGGAGCTAGGAGCTGATATAATTGACTAAAAATAGATTGTACTACTGAGATAGAAGGAATGACCTTTTATTTTTATAAAATTTTGTAATATAAAAAATAATATATTTTTTATATTAATAATAATTATGTTTTTTAAATTTATTAATTATTTTTATTAACAATATTACTTATAATAAAAGTAACATAAATAATTATATTAAAAATTTCAAAGAAAATTACAACACATAACATACATTATTATATTAATATATACGAATAAGCATGGATATATATAAATCTAACTTGAAGATAAATATAGACCCGTCCAATCTAACTTGAAGTTGGGTGTTAATGTCTCTATATCCACCTTGAAGTTAAGCATGGATAAGTCTAAACTTAACTTGAGTGTGATTGTGGCTGTGTGCCTCGACCTTAAATTGATTTTAGGTTTGGGTAAGGATGCATCCATGTTCATCTAAAAATTAGGTATGAATATATCAAAGTTCAACTTGAGATTGGGTGTGGCTATATGCAGCTCCACTTATGGATGGATGTGAATGCATCCAGACTCAACTTTCAAGTTAGGAGTGGATGCACTCGATTTTTTAATTATAATAAAAATAAAAATAAATATAACATAAATAATAAATAATATAGCATAAATAAAAAATATATATGTAACATTCATTATAATAAAAATAAAAATAAAAATAAACATAAAATATTTATGTTATATTCATTTTTAATATTAATATTTTTAATCATATTAAAAAAATAATAATACTATTTTTAATATCCATACTCTTAATCATAATAGAAATAAAATAATTATAACACATAATATTATTTCTAAAATTAATACACTTAATTATAATAATAATAAAAATAATTATAACACAAATAATAGTATTTATAATATTAAAACCCTTAATCATAATAAAAAAATAACACTATTTTTAATATTAATACTTTTAATCATAATAAAAATAAAAATAATTATAACATAAATAATATTTTTTAAATATTAATAATAATATTTTTTCAAATGTATTAATTATTTTATTAATAATATTAATTATTATAAAAGTAATAATATTTACAACATAGATGATAATATTTTTAATATTCATACTATTAATTATAATAAAAAATAATTATATTTATAATATAAATAATTATATTAAGAATTTCAAGATAATTACAACATAAATAATAATACTTTTTATATTAATATTATGAATTATAATAAAAATAATAATATTTAAAATATAAATAATAATATTTTTAACATCAATATTTTAAATTATATATAAAAAAATATTTATAACATATATTATTATATTAACACATATTTGGTAAGCGTGGACGTGTGTTTAGATCCGAGCATCATATTGCAGAAGGGTTATCATAACCAATCGAGACTTTTATTAAGATCCAAATGTCAGATGACGCTTGTATTTACCCCTCGTATGAGAGCCACCTAAACACTAACTAGGATAATTATTGCGTCATATGACAGTTGGGCTACCGTGACCAATTGAACCTTTTATGAAAATCCACGTGCAAGGTGACCCTTAGATCTGCCCTTTGAATTCGAGCCACTCAAGCTCCAGGTGGCGTTTAAGGGTGCCCAAATACCAAGTGGAGCTGGAGGCTGCCCCGCGTCGTGGATTTGTCTAAGCGCCTGGTGGGTCTCGAGCCTACCCTGTACAAGGGTAGGGCCGCCCATGTGCCATGTGACACTCAGTCTTCCCGGCACAAGGATTGCGCAATTGAAGTGTCAGTTATCCGTTGTACTTATTATTTTCTTCCTGACCAGCTCTTCAATACCAAATATACTCCACTTAAAAAACAACCCCATCCCTTCTTTGTTATTCTTACAGCTCTGTGTTAATGACTAGGCTGCCATTAGACTGTTTTAATTTAGATTACTTTATATTTATGTAAACAATAATATGGGTACTAGACTTTTTAGTATATTGTTAATACACCACCGCAATACACAGTAGAACTAAACAAGAATGAGAATAAAAAGGCATAATTATTTCTTGGCTCCGGAATAACTAATGGACTATTCAGTGCCGGAGTTGAAAAGGAGCTGAGGGAGGAGGGGGATTAACAGGGGTTGGATTTGACTTATCAGAAGTCCGACTCCAGCAAATCCCGTATCTCCGTTGAAACAACAGACAACAATGACTTTGATGACTGACATGGGGAGGGGAGACGGGGTAAACTAGTTTGGTCGACTTTGAGGACCCGTTTATGAAGTAGCGACTGGCTTGTCTGTCATTTCCAATAAAACCAAATTTGGTTATATTTCAATTTCCATTCCTTTACAGTTACACATCATATTGCTGAGCTCATCTGACACGATAGTAGTAGTTGACATCATATCTTACGTGCTGAATATATAGTTATCAAACATCTTAGTCATTTTGATATGCCTTACCACAACATAAAATAAAAGTTCTAAATGATATGGATTGCATGAACACCACATGGGTGGAGGAAAATCAAAGGCTCCACAAGCATTGTCTGAGAAGGAGAAGAAAATACACCAAAACCATACCGTCTATCCTGGCTCAATAAAAAGCTCTTGATGCGCCGATTCAAACACCATCATAAAAAATAATATTTAACAATCGAAGTAGCCCATAATCATTTCCTGATGGGTGTGAACGGAGACTCTGAAGATAAGGAAACAATTTTGATTTCGTCCACGGAGGAGTATAATGAACAGAAAGAAAATTTTCATTTCAGACGAGACGTATATATCTAACCTAACCTAACAATTTGAAACGAAACTTTCATGTTTGGCTGACAGAAGATTGATGCCCTAAAAGATCAACTATGAAAGATAAATTCTACTAGTGGCATTGAAAAATCCATGGAAACATCGTTTTGGAAACATCCACTTCAGCGACATTTCCATGTTTTTCCAATACCTTTGAAGACACTGAAGAAGGCACCTGCACTAGCACGCCTCAATGGCAGCAAATAAAATGAACTTAGAGAAAACTGCCAGCAATCATAAATCGGAAATTACCTGCCACTGTCGAAGACCTTGCTTGCTGTCAGAATCCAATTTCTTGACAGCAATTCGCCGTTTCCTGGTAAATCCATTAAATAACCACTTTCCTTTGAGCAAACCCTTGTAGACACTGCCGAAACCTCCTTTTCCCAGTAACATATCACTTCTAAAATTGAAGGTTGCTGTCTTCAATTGTTCAAACGTGAAAACTCTCAACTTTGACTCTGGTGTCTCGTCTGGAAGGGCTGGCAGTTCAATGTCCTCAGGAGCTTTTTTTTTCCCAAAGCAGCGGACCTCCTCCTTGTAAAAGTCATGGTTACCATAGAGAACCAGTTGTTGACGGTGATAACCAGAAAGGATATTTCACCTGAGTAAATGCAAGTTGGGAAAATTAAGGTCTTGAACATAATGAAATTACCACAATTTCAACTGTTCAGAAATAAACATCTTCTAGCATCAGAAATTTTCATGCCCTGGAGTGGGGCCAGCATGGAGAACTATCCTGCAATCGAGCAACATCAATAGAAGAGTAGTTGACTGGAATGCAGAATTTGAATTTGCCTAGCAGTATTTGCAGAGAAAGTCCTTCCCTTCAAGCAGGGGCGGAGGAGCATAGAAGACTAAGGTGGGCTGTAGCACAGGTGGAAAAATAAATTTTTTTAAAAATATAATATTTCATCTTATAATTATAATAAGTATAGCATTTTTATTTATTTTTTCTCATATTTGAATAAGTAAATATTCTCTCTGTATTATTTCTTATTAGTCTCGTATCTTTTTATTGGGCTCCTTAGCCTTTAGCATCCTATTAATTTCTCTTCTTACTCATTGAATAAATTTCTAGGATTTTCTATTCCGGATAAAAGAACCCATTTTATGTATCCCAATTTATATGTATTTGATTCATAGAAAAATATTAAAAAATTTAATTTTAAAAAATAAAATTAAAAAAATAAGTTTGGAAATGTGGTTGCAATTGTTTTTTAAAGTGTTTTTTGTGCTGAAATATATCAAAATGATTTTTTTTATTTTTTACAAATTATTTTTAAAATCAACGTATCTAAATGATTCAAAACATACCAAAAAAATAAATTTTTTGCAAAAAAGTAAATTTTAAGGGAACGCAGTTTGTACCGCGTTCCCAAATGCTCTCAACTCTTTAGCCCCCATCTTATGGTTGCAAATAAATAATCAATCAACTATGAGAAATGTAGCCTAATTGGTCAGGCTCTAGATTTGCTTTTTAAAGATCATTAGTTTGAATTTCACAAATCTTAAGACCACTAAAGATTTATATGGTCCTTAACTTCAGGACCCGTAGAATTAGTCGAGGTATATATGAGCTGATCCAGATATCCACATTAATAAAAATAAATAAATAAATATTCACGTGAACTTCATGATATTTTACGCACTTATCATATCTTTTGCCATTTGCTTAACTCTTATTAGTATGGAGTATGGTTTCTTAGCCTATCCTTGGATTTATAATACAAAAATTTCCATAATGAATACATCATTAGTAAAATGATGAAAAACAACTAGAGTATCTATTTAATAATGAATATTGAAAAACAATTTATGTTTATTTGTTCGTAGCCCAGGATAAAAAAGATTCCTGGCTCCGCCCTTGCCTTCAAGCATTCTTAGACTGGCTTAACGTGGATTTATATTTTGTTTGGAAGGAGAGAAATTACAGGATTCATGAAGCTTCAAGTTTAAATTCTTACGTTCGGAAGCCGAAAGGACCCCAGATATTATAACCTATTTAGGTGCTGGAATTTCAGTTGTCATGTATTTTCTTGCTGTTAGTTTGTAGCAGTTGAAGAGTTTCTGTTGCTTTTAGATGTTCTGTTTCTTGTATTGGCTTTGTAGCAGGATCGAGCTCCCTGCTTAGTTGCCTGGCTTTGACTAATGATATCCACATTCAAGCGAAAACCAGAGAAAATAAGAGTGCTTGGACATGATTATGACCTCTTTTTTTCTTCGTCAGAAGTTAATTATGACTTCTTCTAGTCAAAAGTTAAAGAACAACTCAAATCCTGCAAATGTATACATGTTAAAGGGACTCTAAACTATCAAAAGAATGTGGAAGTGAAAATAGAGCATAATTTCAACCTGTTAGAAGAAAGATACAGGCTTGCAATGAGTTTTTCAATAAGATCACCAAGTATGGAATGAAAATGAAAGGAATATGATATAGTTGAAAACCAACCTTCAAAGAGATGTCCAGGAGAGGTAGGAGCTATGTCTGGGCCAGGGATTGATACTGGGGCTAGTACAACAAAAGCAGGGCCGGTATCTAGGGCTGGATTTGATTGATCAGAAGGGCAACAACAGAGAATCCCCATCAAAAGAACTCTATCTTTCTTGCATCAATGATGAGGGTATGCTTTTTCATTGACTTTTAAGGTCTTTATTTATAGAAATACCGAGGAGATTTCTCCTCCCCGGCTCCCCTCCATTTTTTATTCATTTCTGATAGAGATGTGTACAGATGACTACCCAAAAGAACTAAGAAAATGTAAAAATATCGATCCACAGTGACTAGAATTGCGCTTGGCTAGTGTTTCAGCATTTAAATGACAAATATTAAAAGAACAAAGGTGTTTGGTTAATTTAAATTGAATTTCTATAATTTTAAAATATAAAGAATACGAGAGTATATATTTCTTCTGTCTCTATTTTTTTAATCTCAAAATAATAATGAAACATTACTTGTACTAATTATAATGGTCAAACCTTCTTCGTTGATCGATTGAAAGACTCACTTTAGCCGAAGTATAAATAAATAAATAAACATTGCTTATTTTATCAGCTCAATCCTTTGCTTCCATCGCTGGAAGAAGAAACATGAAGAACAAAAGAAACATCAATGAAAGTATTTCAAATTTGTGCGCTCTAATGTCAAGTCAGAAGCTTTAATCGTTCTAGTGTCTCGGCAACTTCTGTCATTGATAGCCGGTTCCTGGGACGTGAGTAAAGACATCTAACAGCAAGTATAGCTATTTCCGAAGCTTGTTTGCTACCCTACTTCCCCTGCAATCTGGGGTCCATGATTTGTCTCAGCTTTTTTCTGTCGGTTAGAAATGGTAAAGCCCATTCGCGAAGGTCTTGTTGCTTAGGCGGACATTTTTTGTCGACAGACCGTAAGCCAGTTCCTAACTCGATCAAAACTACTCTGAAACTATACACATCGCTCTTTACATACAGTTTCCCTAACAAATCACATAACATCAATATCATGGAAAAATCTATAAGTTTATAACCTGGCTTAACTAATTCAAAATTAACTGAGCTCGGATGCTGTGAAGTTTCAAGTAAAACATCATTGAACATTGAGAAGTCTAAGATTAGACGGTACAAGAAATCACCTCCAGTCTTATATTCCGGACCAACATTTACATATGGAGTGGCATCATTGGGTCCCCATTTTGCCAAGCCAAAATCTGACAGCTTCGGAGTGTAAGACTACACATAGAAACTTTGATGTTAAAAGAAAAGACTTCGGGAATCTTTAACATTATGGTGGTATCCACCAACACAAAGTACACAAGAGGTTTCTGTTCCAAGCAAATCAAGCTTGATGGTAAACATTCTGCTAGAATTCATGTGGAAAGTGATCAAGAGGCAGGGGGTTTGCATCAACCAGTATCAGCTTATCTATGGTCTTTTGCATATTCCTAGACATAGTTGTTTGGTTGTGTATTCTAAATGATCTCACCACAAGCCACGTTTAGATGAGAGGAAAATTTAAATGCTCAGATGGATAGTTATACAGTCAGTTATAAGGACAGGAACCAGATTGTAGAGAGATGCTGATTATCTGAAAGGAGAGAAAAATAAGAGATTCAATGGAGGCATCTTCGTTCAAGTTTTGCAAAGATAGGAATCTGGAAGGTTTAACTTAGGCTACATTGCACCAGATTGTAGAAAGATGGTGTTTTCAATTCAAGATATGCTGTTATTGGGTCCCCATTTTGCCAAGCCAAAATCTGACAGCTTCGGAGTGTAAGACTACACATAGAAACTTTGATGTTAAAAGAAAAGACTTCGGGAATCTTTAACATTATGGTGGTATCCACCAACACAAAGTACACAAGAGGTTTCTGTTCCAAGCAAATCAAGCTTGATGGTAAACATTCTGCTAGAATTCATGTGGAAAGTGATCAAGAGGCAGGGGGTTTGCATCAACCAGTATCAGCTTATCTATGGTCTTTTGCATATTCCTAGACATAGTTGTTTGGTTGTGTATTCTAAATGATCTCACCACAAGCCACGTTTAGATGAGAGGAAAATTTAAATGCTCAGATGGATAGTTATACAGTCAGTTATAAGGACAGGAACCAGATTGTAGAGAGATGCTGATTATCTGAAAGGAGAGAAAAATAAGAGATTCAATGGAGGCATCTTCGTTCAAGTTTTGCAAAGATAGGAATCTGGAAGGTTTAACTTAGGCTACATTGCACCAGATTGTAGAAAGATGGTGTTTTCAATTCAAGATATGCTGTTCTTGTAGTGTATGCTTGTTCTTCAGATCTATTTCGCTTTGAAATTGTAAATTTAAGCTTTCCGGTATGATAAGTTCCTGAATAGTATGAGTTCAAAATGGTAATCTAGAGATTATAATGACGTTTACCTCATCAAGTAATATATTTGAGGTCTTGAAATCTCTGAAAATTAGTGGCCTATCCATAGAATGCAAATAAGACAGGGCTCGAGCCATCACTGTTGCAGTCATCAGTCTTGTTCCCCAAGGAAGTTGCTGATCAGATCGTTCTGAACATGCTGAGAAACAAGCAGTGAAAGAAATGAAGGTTTGTGGCTACGCAATTAGCAAACATTTGCTCAATATCTCTAGAATGTAACAAAGTTTAGCATTCCTTACTTAAACAAATGGTAATTTAAACTACCCTTCTCCATGAATTCATAGACAATAAGCAACTCTCTATTTTCTTCTTCCTGAAAGTATCCCAGCAACTTCACAATGTTGGGATGAAAAAGCTTTGCCAAGAAACCAACCTCTGTCTGTACCAGTGACATATAAAGGAAGTACACACTGAAGGATCAAACATAAAAATATAGAGAATATCACAGGAAGGTAACAACCATTTATCACAAAGATTTTACATGGTTCGTCTATGCCTATATTCATAATTGAAGAGAAATTTTACTATAATCGGAATCAGTACAAGTTTTGAAGAACTATCGAACCCAAATCTCAGATACATCTAATCCTCATGGCACACTACGAGCTTCTCATGCTGGATCTCTTTTTAGAACACAAGAGCATACCAAATCATCCTTAAAAAAAAAAAACAAAAAACTAGGCCTAAATTGAGAATATATCTTAGTCACAAGCCTAACCTTTTTCCAGACAATACAATCACAAGTGTTTCATTGTACTGTGTGAGTTAAAATTGAAGTCCTTACACAATAAAGATTTGAATTCATGCCACATCTCAACAAATTATTATCCTTTTTTAATTGCAGACAATACAGCTAAATTTCTGGACTGAAATGTACAAGTTCAGTAGTCACCGGAAAAAAAATATTAAATCAAGACAGGAGGCTCATCTAATGAAACCTCTCATTTTGATACTAATCATGCATATTTGGCAAACTAAAGACTCCCAAATTGCAAGATCAACAATAAAATACAATCACCTGCCACTGTCTAAGTCCTTGCTTGCTTTAATATTTTAGTGAACCTTTTCTTAAAAGGCACCTTTTCTTTTAGTGAACCCTTGCAGACACTGCCAAACCCTCCCTTTCCCAGGACCATGTCATTTCTAAAATCGAAGGTTGCTTCCTTCAATTGTTCCAATGTGAAAACTTTCAACTTTGACGGAAGGGCTGTGATTTCGATGGCCTAGGGGGCATTTTTACCCCGAATAGCATTCTTTGCTTGATAAATCCATGTTGTAAAATTGGTGGTGGCTATAGAGAACCAGCTGTTGCCAGAGACATTGTTAACAAGAAAAGATATATCACCTGAATAAAATATGTATCAGTTATGCAAACTGGAATCTCTATGACCTGAAGCAAGCTCCCTAATTCAACATCTCATCAAGGGTCTAAAGAAACCATGTATAGAAATTAAAACCATGCACCAACATATCATATAGCCTAGTTCAAAGTGAAAATAAAAAAGAAGATGAAAACAGAATGCTTTGAATTACAAATAGTTTTCCTACAAGCTGGCCTAGGAAAATATTGAAGGAAAATGTGCAGAATGGTGACATGGTTAATTAGACACCAACCTTCAATGAGATGTCCAGGAGGGGTAGGAGTGGCGTCTGGGTCAAATAATGGATCCGGGGCTGGTGCTGATGCAGAAGCTTGTGCTGCTGGTGCTGGATTTGACTTGGCACTCCAGCAAATCCCCATAAAAAAGAATTCTATGATTCTGTCTATCTTTGAGTGAATGATCCCGTTCACGCTCAGCGAGGTTTATTTTTATTTACTTTTATTTATTTATTTATGCAGGGTGTTTGAGTCAGTTTATTCACACCACGATTAAACCCATTGAATATCCTACAAATTTAATAAGTAGACAATGTATCGCAGAGATGATATACATGCACAGTAAAATTCAAATTCAAATGCAGAAAAAAGGGAGAAGTCTCTCTTACTGTTTAACTAGAAACTCGTGCGTATCAACCAGGTTTATTTTATTTTAAAAGACTAGTGGTGTACTTGCTAGACACATGTTTCATTGACTCGCATGTCTTTGTCTATAAAGCATAGACAATAATTCTCCTCCACACATTCTTATTTTATTTTGATTATACATTTGTTTTTTATTTTATTTTTTAGTTACCGTTCACAGAGGTTTTTAGTTTTTAATTACCGCAGTGAAGGGATGTGAAGAAGATAATAATAATTTTTTAAGATATAGAAGGTTCTAAGTGTGTATTTGGCGCTGGAACTGTATTTATAGTAAAATATTATTTATAAGTATTTGGTTAAATATTAATTATATTTTATTGTTATGGGTCCTACCCAAAACTAAGGTCGGAACTCAGTTTCTTGAAAAGCAATTTGAATTTGCCTTTAGGGTGTGCTCTACTCTCCCCTTCACTGACAGTGCAGATTTATTAGCTGGTCATCGTCATTTTGCTTCAGTAAACTCCTCAGAAATGCCGCCAAGGGTAGCTTGCTTTTTCTCTTCTTCTTTTTTTTTCCTTCTCTTTTTTTTTCTTCCTATTGTATGGAGACGCACTTCGATATTTTATAAAGTGAACAGTGAAGACTGTATTCATAGTTAATAGGCCAAGCTCAATCTGATTTAAATTTAAATATATTAAATTAGGTTTAATTCAGTAAAATAAAAAAAAAATTATTTTATAAAGTAAATAGTAGAGATTATTCACCATTTACAGGCCAAACTCAATCCAATCTAAATTTAAATATATTGAATTGAATCTGATGTAGTAAAACAAAAAAATCCAATAAAATTTCTTAAATATTATATTTTATTTAAAAAATTAATATTTAATATTATTCAATTATACTACATAATTATATTAGAAAGAGATCACATGATAATGAAACATTTTTAGAATATGATCGCAATCTTAATTTTGTTTTAGATAATATTTTACATGATGTTGTACTCTCGAAAAACCATGAAAACTGTAGTTCTTGTCGGATTCATTTCGTACGTGATGGAATTGTAGATTGTTTAATAGAATAATAAAAAATATTTTATATAAAGTATTATTTATTTCATGATGTAATAACAGTATTTAAATCTACAATATTTCAATTAAAAAAAAACAATATTAAAATATGTCTCTTTTAGTTATTTTATAACATCAATTTAAAAGCATTCTTAATTAAACACAATAAATTAATTTTTGTTCAATATTAATTTCAACCATAACTTTAACCAAATATATAATTTACTAAACCAACCTCAACTAAAAGTATTTTTTATAAAATATTTTTTTAAAATTATAACTACAAAAATTACTAAAATATCAAACACACTCTGAAGTGAAAACTTGTAAAGTGTCAAGAAAAAAAACTGAGTGTTTATATAAGAATATTTTTATAATTAAAATATATTACAACAATATTTTTTTTATTTTTAATATCAACACACATGTCGCACGTGTGCGGCGTCGCGGTGGGTTTTTCACTTTAACAATGAACATGTATATAGTGCCTATCTGGCAAATGCGAGGAGACAAGAAAATATTGTCTTTTGTTGGTGGAAAATGGAATGGAAGTCGTTACCTAGTATTTTAGTTACTACGAACCCTAACTGCTAGTATTTTAGTTACTAGGAACCCTAACTGCTCTAAGAGATCGGGTACGGGGACTGGTTGCTTAAAGGGAAGGTATTAGCACCCTAAATACGTCTTACTTAAGGTAAACTGCATTATTTGATTGTCTGATAAAAAGCTAAAGTGTTATTGTATTTCTAGTTGTTGGTCCATCTACGGTTCAAGAAAAGTCCTCTTCAATAAGGAGGTTCTTATCTTATCGGGTAACTCTGACCTAAACACAAGAATTTAATATCCGGAATACGTCTTACATATAAGATCATAACCCCAGATATTAAAAGAAAACAAAATAATATTTTTAAAATTTTTTGAAATATTGGCTTAGTTCTTATGACTTGAATAAAATGGTTAAGTCAAAATGCATGCTAATACATATATTTTTTTGGAATTTTTGTTGTTGTATGAAAATATGATGTGATGATATATATATATATATTGGAGAGACTAGGCCGTATGCATGAAAACAAAACATTTTTTATTTTTATATTTTTTTTATGACTTAACGAAAACTGAGTATTTTAATACCAGATTTGTATCTTTACAGTATAAAAATACAAACCGATATTGATTAAAATACAGTAGCAAAATTGTGAAAAATCACAAATTTTTTAAAATAAATTTTTGAATGGGCCAGACCCGACCCAAAAGGAAACTGGGCCGAAATCAGCCCAAAATAAATTAGGGTCTAATTTCTATAGGGCTGGGCTGATGTTCCGGGCCAAAACAAACATGGACTGGTACTGTGCACATAAATATCTTCTTGCTTGCAAAACGTGCACAGTACACTTTTTACATGCAAGAAGATGAACAATAAAACGAGATAAGAGGTAAAGGGCGGACCTGTGGTGGCTCTGAAGGCGGTGATGTTGGCAGTTGCTAACCAGAGGATGGCTGAGACGGTGGTCAGCCTTTTTTTCTTTTCTTCTCTGTGTTTTTTTTCTTCTGCTTTGTTCTTCTCTGCTTTTGTTTTCTCCTTCTGTTGCTGACGATATTCTTCCCTCTCACAGTGGTTCTACTGTTGTTGGCAGCGCAAATGGTGGTGGACTAGCGGAGGTTATAGGGGGGTGAGACACGGTTCTTCTTCTTCTCTCACAGAGGCCCAGTTTCTGTCTTTTTCTTCTCTCTATTGTTTTGACTCTCTTTTTTCTCTATACTCTCACAGTATATCTTCTCATTTCAAACTTCCTTTCTCTTTCAGTTTTTCCGAAACCCCCCCTTTGTTCTTTTGTTTCTTCCTTCTTTTCCCGTTCAAAACAAAAAAGTGTCCTTTTTTTCTTTTTTTCCTTCCTCCTCTGCTCACTGTCTTTCTCTAGCTTTTATAAGCTAAAAAGAGCCTTGCGGTGATAATAGTACCTGGGACAAGCCCTAAAATATGCTCCATGATTTAAGCAATTTGCTGCAAACCATATTCCTATTTTAATGCTGAAAACGGCTTTTCCTTTTTTTTATATATATATATATATATATATGCATTTACATATTAAATTTAGATTCTCTGTATTTGCGAAAAAAAATCTTTAAACCGAGTTTTGTCAGTTTTTCTACCTTGGTTAATGGGCTTTATATCAAGAATAGAATTGCTCAAGCCGTAGAATTCTTTAACGATATGATAATATTCACTTACACGCTGAATTTAGATTCTCTGTATTGACCAAAATCATTGAACTAAGTTTTGTCACTTTTTCTATCTTTTAAACTGAGTTGTGTCCCTTTTTCTATCTTTGTTAATGGGTTTTATATTAAGAACAAAATTGCTCGAGCCCTTGAATAACATGGTAGCAAAAGGATATGAAACTAATCTACATACATATACCAGTAAAAAAGAATAAAATAAAATAAAATATGTGTACCAAGTTGATAAAAGAGAAAATATGATAAAAAAAACTCTTCACTGAAATATTTATACCACAATTTCTTAGCATAAATTTATCATGAATTATTTTTACTTAACTAAATTGAAAATTCATATTATAAAATTTAATTTAAGATAAAAATATTAAATATATCTTTTAATGAAATATAAAAATAAATAAAAAATCAAGAAAATAATCTACTTTGTCAATTCATGATATCAAGATTCTTCGTGTTATTAAAGAATATATAATTATAAATAAGTTAAATTATGTATTTATATTTATATTTCACACTTCCATAAATATCACACAAATCCCATTTTATACCCAAAATCATCGCAATGGAGAGAATTAGGCTTAATTCCACATGGAGAATGATATTGAAACGCAGAATCCACTTGCCTGTCGTATGGACACTATTCAAGATAATATGGACTCATCATTATCACTTAACAATGCATCATTGCTAGGAATAAATTTCATTCTGAAGACAGAGCAGATTTTTTAAGCAAATCATTGGAGAAAATCATTCGAAACTCTTTGAACCATCATGTTTGTCATAATTCAATTTTTAATAGCATAAATTGACCAAAAGAATGAAATGGATGAAGAATAATTGAGATTTAGATCAAGAAAAAACAATTTGAAAGTCTTGAAGATTTAATAAAAGTGGAATTATAAGTTTGGAAGCTAATTTTTATAGAAAATAAAAGATTTAATAAGATTGGAGACTTAATTAAACTTTAAATTACTTTAATTAATGAAATTATGAGCTTAAGTGATAGAATCGACAAGTTAAAGGACTCAATCAAACTTTAATTTGGTTTAATTAATGATGTCGGGAATATAATTGAACAATTGATAAGTTTGGAGATTTAATTGAGTTTGAAATTAAATTAATTAATACAATCAGGGGTATAATTAAATAAATATTAAATTTATGAACTAATTTAGATCAAAATCGAAACATATTAAAGTAAAATGACCATTTTGTATGAGGCACTACAATACAGGGGCTTAATTACCATTTGGAATAAGGCTCTAATTAAAACTATTCTGGAAAATCGAGGGCCAAACCCTCCAGGAGGGTAAACGACGTCGTTCCATGGAGGACTGTTGAAAAGCTATTAGACACCTTTAGCTAAAAGTAACGTGGGCCGGATGAGCATGAGGCCCATGTCAGGCCACTCTTTTTTTTTACTGGGC